TTCTCTTCTGGGATTCATTTTACCGTTTCAAAAGACCGCTGAGACGTTGTTGTGGGCAAGTAAAAACGGTTAAATTTTCTCTTCTGGGATTCATTTTACCGTTTCAAAAGACCGCTGAGACGTTGTTGTGGGCAAGTAAAAACGGTTAAATTTTCTCTTCTGGGATTCATTTTACCGTTTCAAAAAACCGCTGAGACGTTGTTGTGGGCAAGTAAAAACGGTTAAATTTTCTCTTCTGGGATTCATTTTACCGTTTCAAAAGACCGCTGAGACGTTGTTGTGGGCAAGTAAAAACGGTTAAATTTTCTCTTCTGGGATTCATTTTACCGTTTAAAAAGACCGCTGAGACGTTGTTGTGGGCAAGTAAAAACGGTTCAATTTTCTCTTCTGGGATTCATTTTACCGTTTCGAAAGACCGCTGAGACGTTGTGAATGAGTACAAACAGTTCAGTTTCCTCTACCATGTATTAGTAACTATGTTAAAACAACGCATTGACGTCAAACTGGAGGAAACAATTCATTTCAGTTTCTTTTAGCCAACACTCGTTTCATTTACCAGAAGAAACAAAAGGTAAGGACAGCGTGTAAGAAAGTGTTTAGTAAATAAATAACAATTAATATGTTACATAAAAGAACATACCTATTAAAAAATACAATCAATTTACTTCCCCGTTTATATCAAATGTACATATACTGAAGTCTTAGGAAACATTTCATTTACAGAATTTCTGGATGTGACTTTTATATTCTGCAAGCTGAAGTATCTCGGATAATCAGAATATACTAGTTTCATTCTGTGAACGTGTAAACTAACATAATGACATGGATTACTTTTTAGAATATTTCTGATAAGGACAGATGGTGGTGTTTGTATAGAGAAGGCAGACAAAGCAAATAATTAATATCACTTAGATTTGTACCACTAACTAGCACCTGCGGATGTTTTGAGCAACGCGGACATTATTATACTTTTAATATATTTTATATTGTATACTGTATGCAATACCTACAATCAGATTTGAAGATACTTATAGAGAAAAAAAGAACAGAATTTAATATGTAAGTTCTTCTAAGCCAACTTTAGTCAGTTTCTGGGTAATTTTAACGTAGAACATTTGGAGCTTAGAAATGTTATTGTGATCATACAGTGAAGGTTTTCATCCGTTCCCTTTCAGTTAGGTAAAGATTTATACAGGTGATGAAACGTCTCGTTCTTACTATGATTTTTTCAAAATGATATTCATGTTCCTCTTATTGTCTATTCTTCTTTTGTAACAGTAATCAGTTGGAATATCATTAACCTTGTAAGGAAGTACCGAAATGGTCCTGCTGTGACATTATATTATGAAATCAACGGTTCATGTTTCGAACAGCATGAACAGTATGAAAAATCATACTGTCTATAAGAAAACACTGGAATATCAGACTATTCTATTTTTTTTTCTCTTCTTTAATACTTTCTTCTACCGGTTTCGTAACTTAAAAAGTCACGCTTCAGAATATGATTTGACTGAGAATCTATAAGAAAATCATAAAAATACTGTTTTCAATTACATATAAATAATCTAAATTAAATTTATATTTTCCAAACTTACAAACATATAATACACCCATTTATAAACTAAATACATTATAAATGCTCAAAAATATAAAAAAATAATCAATATACTTTCCTTTTTAAATTAAAATTTTATTTAATTATACTTTCTCTTATTATTATAGAAATATAATTTATTTATCCTATAATTTCATACTCTTACTTACTTTTTTATTTTCTGTAAGTCTTAGTTACTGTTTTCATGGTTTCACAATTCCTACTGTCTTGATACAACCAATTACTTCTGCCATAAAAATTTATAAAATATTTTTCGAAAAATAATCTTTTATGTCTTACATTACATGCTAAAAAAGGGAAAATGTGAAAATATGGTTCTTTTAGAATCTTACCTTTTGTCAAAATACATTAATTAAAATGTTTCTGGCATATAATGGAGTTTTTTCGGGACATGGAATTTATGTAAATTTATCCTTAATCTTAAATTATTTGTCTCACCAACACAGAACTCACCACTTACACACATTCTAAAATATATATTACGTTCTCAGAATTGCAATTAAATTAGTTTTTAAAGAAGAACACAATTTCTTCATTATTATTCTTTATTGTTTTGGTAGTTTTCATGTAATCAAAATTACATAAAACACAGTTCTTTCTGTCACAACTGAAGATACCTTCTCCAGAAAAATATCTTTAGCTTTATTCCATAATATATATAAAAACATTGGCTATCTTCTTGACAAAATAATTTTATTATAATTATGCATTAACAAATGAAATATCAATGTGAATATTTGGGCAATGAGTCACAATATACATACGCACACATATGGCCTCTATATATTAACAAAGGTCACACTCTTCAGGAAATAGTTTTACTGAGAATCTTTAACACTATTAATTTTCTGAAGAATGACCTTTGAAGTCACGAAACCGGTAGAAGAAATTAATAAAAGAAGGGGGGGGGAGTATGATATTCCAGTGTTATCTTATTCATATCCACAGGTGAATCTTATTGATATCTTGGTGTTATATATATATATATATACATAGCTTTTACTTAATAACTTTGCACAAAGGGATTGTGTGTAAAATTTATTGTTCAATAAGCATTCTACACAAAGAATCTGGTTAAAGAATTAACAGTGAATAAGGGAACAAAATTTGTTAATTATTTCTAAAGTTTTTGTAAGATTAAGTTTCCCAGTACAGTTGATTTTTGGTTGCTCATTTACTACAAGGTGACGATAAGACTTAACTTGAGATAGATTACTGTTGTAACATGAAATGTTTATTATATATAATACTAGTAAAAAACATGTTTCGGAACGAAATGGTTACAATATCACTTGTATAAACAAGTGCACATCTTTAACGTCTAATATTTAAGAAAATATATTGATGTAAAGCTAAAGGATACTTAAATAGAGTTCAGTACTACGGGTCATCAAGTTGGTTGGGTTTACTACATACAAAGTCGAAACGCTTACATTAGTCCTTTATGAGACATCCATTATATTGAGCAGTGCTTCTCAACTGGATGAACGGTTCACCCAGGGGTTAATGAGAATTATGGGGTGAATGGCAAGGTGAATGAGTACAACAAATTCAAGAGCAAAAATAAAACTCATTAATTATTTATTCTGGTTGTAGTTTAATAAATACACTTATTTTTTGTTTATTTTACGTTGTATTCATTCTAGTTGTAGTATGATGTATATTTAAATCATAATAAAGAATTTTGTATTTTAATTTAGTATTTTTTTAATAATGGCTGGAGACGGCTTGAATGGGTAATGAAGAAAAACTTTAATATAACAGCAAATGTACA